TGCTGAACTTTCACCACAATATATATTGAAGATTGGTATGTGCTTCTTGTATACCACTTCCTTCCACTCATTCTTTCTTAACTTTCTATAATTTTCTTCTCACTTCTTGGCCATGAAGAAACAGCTCCAGAAACTTTATGACCATATAAATTTGTGTCAAAAATGGAATTCTTCTGTGTATGGGAAAACTTATTATCATAAAACAGTATTTGTTCCAACGTAATATAAATATTTTGCCATTGAAAAGCAAACTCAATGAAGTTTGTTTGTTTGTGGTAGGATGAGTAACTATGAAAAATAATTTAAAAGTTTACGTGACAGAGTAAATATCTGAATATAGCCATAAAAATGTGGAAAATGAAGACTACTGAGAGAAATTTTTAACTGCTAGATATTGAAACTTATCATAAAACTACAATCATCCATTCAATATAGTGTAAGGACATGCATTGGTCAATAAATTAGAGGATCAGATAGCTAGTCCAGAGACAAATAGGGGAAAAAAATGAAAGATTTCTCATATGAAAAAGATGGTATTTTGTCACTGGGGAAGATCATTTAATTTGAGATCTGGGCATAAGCATATCCATCAAAAATGAAATAATGTTAAATCCTTACTTCAGACCATATCCAAAAATTCCTTCCAAAAGATTAAAGAACAAAGAGAAGAAACAAAAAATTTAAGGATATACATATGGGATATTATATATATATAATGGGGAAGAATATCTAAATCAATACAAAGATATAAAACTATAAAGAAAAAGATGGAGATAGCTGGCTAACTAAAATTTAGAAGATAGCATCCCTCTCCAATGGAAATATAATTGTGCTCTTTTGAAAAAAATATTTAATTATACATAATTCATGTACAAAAAGTGTACAAATTATAAATATATATCTCAGGGACTTTTTACTCTGTGGACATACCTGTTTAAGAGCTAAACAAATCAGGTATCTTATTTTGTCACTTATATACAGTTTGTTAACTATCTTTCAAACCTTCACTATGAGGGAGGATTTCTTTGTTGCTCAATTTAATTCTACCAATTTTTATCTTACAAATCTTAAGCCTATATCGTTTGAAACATACAAAGTTAAAATTTGTTATGTCTTCTTTGTGAATTGATATTTTGTTTGTCTCCAATAATGTTTGCTTTAAGTATACTTTGTTTTGATATTAGTATAGTTATATCACATTATTTAATATTTACATGACATAACTTTTTTCATCTTTTACTTTCAACATTTTTGTATCTATATATTCAAAGTATGTATCTTATGAGTAGCACATAGATATTTTTTAATCAAGCCTAACAATCTATCTTTTAATTAGACTAGTTAGTTCAGTTACTTTAAATGAATATATATCTGTACATGTACATTACATTTAAATTAAATATTTATTTATTTTAAAGTGTATATGTAATAATTTAAAAATATATAATACATATAAATGTTATATATAACACACACACATACTTATCTACTGTATGTACTTTTTGTGTCTTCTATTTTCCTAAACATAATAATCCCAAGTTAAAGTCCATGCCTGATAACTCAATATCTGAATCTCATAATTCTCTTTCTCCTGTTCACTTACAGTTTTTTGGTCTTGTCTCCAGGTTTTCCAGGTAATTTTTAAAAAGAAAGCCATAAATTGTTTATGGAAAATTATAGAAATAACTGAGGCTATGGATCTTGTTATTTTGCTCAATGAGGATTGACTTTTGATTCTGGCAAGCAGTCACGCATGTTAACTTAACCACCATGGATTTAGCTGATTGAGAGATAAGCTTCAATATTTTTAAAGGCTAGTCCGTTTCTATGTAGTCTTTCAGCAAGAAAGGAGCCTTTACAGAGTCCCTACTGATAGTCTGGTGACTTATCAAGTCTTTGCCCTTTTTTATGGTTACTACTCCTCTACGCAGTACTCTAAGCCTTGCTGCACTTGTTTAGACCCTCAGCCTCCTGAACCTCAACTTTAGTGGAGTTTCTCCACTGATCAACTGCCTTCATCTAAATTTTCACTTAATGTTTGGAAAACATCTGAATAAAAATGTATTT